TCAGCGCCACTCTGTGGTTGTACTCCGCACTAACTATATAAGATTTTTTGGTTGCCTACCAAATATACCATCAAAGTCACTCAAAACTTTCTTTTATAAAGTTGGTGTTATGTGCATGTGCCTGACTTTCTAGAAGGCTAGGTGTGTCTTAATTCTCTACCGACTAGCAGTGTCCTATGACCTGATGAACCAGTTTCGCTGGATATGGGATATATTCCTCATTCCCAACGTGAATAATTTTAGTCAGGTCAAGGAAAGTTGGACAAAAAGTCTCTAAGTCCCTCCCAGTCACCATGATCGTAATGCCTAATTTGAGATCTGGACGAATTTCTATGGCCACAGCCTGTTTTGATGGAGACCCGACACCCACAACAGCTTCTTCTGAGTTACCTCGTGGAGACTGGGCGGCAGTGTCGTAAGGAATAGGATGCGCCGTCAGAAAGAGATGAAGCAGGCTTCCGGCGAGAAGAAAATAGGGTTCGATACAAGCTGGTTCAGTCTGTGGTCCGCTGCATCGGCCTTGTTTGATCTCAACCAGAGTTCATTATGCGGATTGAAGTCTCCGACGATACAGACTTCTGAGTCGGGCCCAACAACGTGACGTTGACCGTAAGGCATTCAAACAGGTCAACCCTTATGGACCGATTTAGAGCGACAGCGGCAGCAAATAAATTTGGTGGATGGTTTGAAGGTGAGCCGTAACCCCGGATTTCCTTTCAGCCTGACACAAAGGAGACGTCGCTGGAGCAGGAGGGTCTACGATGGACAAAAGCCACAACTCCACCGTTCGTCCTCAACTGGGAGGAAATGCCAGATGGCTAGTCGGGACAGAATCTGAGTTTTTGGTCTCCAAGAAGAGTATGGTGGGGCAACCTGATAACATGATGGTGAACAAAGTCCGTCTTCTGCCCGGACATTCAGAGACTGGAGTGAATTAACTAAGATCAAATGTGTGCGGCTAGGAAAACGTCTCTAGATCTCACAAGATTAGTGATGAAAATAACAATCGAGGTCAGATCCGTATTCATCTTTGACGAGTACCTTATCGTGGATTTGACCTTGAGGTAATTTTTGTTCAAATAGAAACCTGCAAAAACAGTATCCGCTAAAAACATTTTTAACGGTTACCGTAGTTCCCTCGCAAAGCTCACACAAAGAACTGACCTTGACAGATACTTTTGTCAGTATTCATGTGAGATTTTCCTAGCAGCACACGTTTGGCCTTGATGTGACCTCAGCGGTCAGCTCTAATACACATTTGAGCATAAGATTTCCGGATCTCTGGATTGCCAGCATCCAATAGGTGCTTCTGTTTGGAAAAAGAGGTGCTCTTGAAATGACCTTCAGGGCGAGATTCCAGGTCAAATCCAAGATCATCCCTACTTGTGAAAATTTACAAGAGACCTGAGCTTGTCAGGTATTTTCATCACCACCTCTGCCAGATTTCCAGAAGTTTTCCTGGCAGCACATATTTGACCTTTATTTCACCTATTTCACCTACAGCGGTCAGCGTGGTCTTGAATTTTAATACATCATATTCAAATGTAAATTGAAGGTTTCCATTGAAGAAATGAAGTTAACTTTGGGTAAGTCTTAACGAGGGACTACGGTGCTCGTTACAAATGATTTTTAACCGATAATGTTACTGCGGGTTTCTATATGGAAAAATAATGACCTTGAAGGTGAGGTTCAAGGTCAAATCCAAGATCGCTCATCCAAATTCACTAAAGAACTGACCTTGATACTTATTTTCATCGCTAATCCTGTATGATTCCTACTGGTATTTCTAGGAGCACCAATTTGACCTCCTTTTGACCTTCAGGGGTCGCCACGATCTTGGTCTTGAATTTGTATTTGAACGTAAAATTTTCTGCTGTTTTGATTGTCAGAATCAAATATAGGTGTTCCTATTCGAAAAAATAAACTTGACCATGAACTAACCTTGAAGGTGAAAGTCAAGGTCAAATTCAAGGACACCTGTCCCTCCTGATTCACCCCGTATAAGCTAGCACAAATTTTCGTGATGAATATCATGCAGAACGCCTTACAAACAAAATTTCTTGCGATTGCGTTGTTTCCTTGGCATCTGGCACCTGAAATAGGCCATGCCACTCCGAACATATCAAATTAAGACATTCGTGCTTTCCGGGTTATGGAAAACTTTTTGATATGCCTCAGAAAGTGTAGGTGCAAAGGAAAACATACAACAGACGCAAAAACGGCAGCGATCACGAGGGCGGAAATTGACGTGACAGCGCCAGGAGAGCATTTTCTTTTCCTTGACGTGTGTTTTGGCCAAGAAATTTCTTTTCCTATACGAAAACGGGGAAAGAGAAGAGATGCGCGACTGAAAACCGAGTATGTGGCGCCGATAAAAGTATGAGAGGTATACTCAACATTGAACTATCTTTTTTTATGACCGAAACATTGATTTAGTTTTAATATGTTTTAGTTTCTTTGCAGCTGTCTACTTCTTACACGCTTTATTTCAACTTGACCTTTTAGTATGTATTAATCTTGGAACGAGTTGTTAAACAAGCCAACTTTAAGCTAAAAGCTGAAACTCTGTATACGCGTTTGGTTTGCGTGACAATACAGAATAAAGTGCGCGCCACCATTTTCAATCAAATACGGCGGATAGTACAAAATGGCGATTTATTATCTACATAGTAACCTTTATGATATCGGTATCAAATCAAAGGGCTTGATGAGAGAAATACGGTGAGCAAGGTAACGTTATTCTAAATCTAGTGATGTCATTTTAAATAAAATATGGTGGACACGGCAACATGGCGATTTAAATTTCTTAAGTTTTAAGTTGTGGCACAAAATATTCATGGGATTTTTTTAATAAAGGAATTTATTGAAACACTAACTAGTTATCATACATTACAACTCAATACTTAACTAAACTATAGTATCTAACTTTGTTGAGTGGCCGATTCTGCTCGACCAGACGCAACTTTATTGTGTCATATGTCATGTCTCTCATGAGGTCCTGGACGGAATTTAGATCAATTGGGCTTCCCAGCTTCATTGATAAGCCTTCCTAGACGGTAAAGTCCAAAAATCCTCTATTGGGCGAGCTTTCGATAAGTTTGGAGAATTACTGACCTGGGAACAAGAGATATGTTGTGTTGTCGAAGTTAGTTTTGAGAATATCTTCTGTTAGAAATTGCGCACCCGACAAGGACTTTATATACAAGTTACGCTCTATGTTTGTATCAAACATTGTCAGAGATTCCTTTGCGTTGTCCGTATGAAGTTTTAGAAAACATTTAAAAGCTCTTCTGCTCAGTGGTGATTCTTAGAGGTGGTTTTCGGTAGCATTATATTTTTATGCTAACATTTGTTTAACTTGTGATCAGTTTAATGCGCATGCTCCTCCTTTTATTTTACTTACAGCTGTACTATTATTTTTATGAAGTAAATGGTTAAGTGTTAAAATAGCTAAACTTCGCCATTAACCTGCTCACTAATCTATACTAAGTGACATATAAATCCGAACACCCAGTTTAAATGGTTTTATTTTAATAAAATTTTGTATAAGTACTTAATGAAGCATAATAAGTAAATGATAAAAATTTCAAAATGATTGCACTGCTTTAAAGCCCTTTGACCTTTAATAATGTGTGGATGCACCCTGATGTGCTATGCATTCTCCAACGCGCCTAGGCATGCTTCTGATCAGGTGGTCAATGTCCTCCTGTGGTATCTCATTCCAGGCAACCACCAACTCCTCTCGAAGTGCTTCTGGAGTCTGAGGAGGACGTTGCAAATTGAGCAATCTCCTACCCATCATATCCCACACGTGCTCAATTGGGGATAAGTCGGGAGATCTTGGTGGCCATGGTAACAATGTGACATCATTATGTTGAAAGAAGTCTATTGTGACTCTTGCAACATGTGCTCGGGCATTATCTTGTTGGAAAGTTGGATCTGCCAGGGTGTCAAAATAGAGTAAAAGATGGGGTTCTTGAACTTCGTGGATATAACGCTGCGCGTTCATGTTACCTCTGATGAAGATTAAAGGTGACCTGGAACTATAAGCTATAGCACCCCAAACCATAACTCCAACAGTGTGATGAACATGTCTTTCAACAAAAAACTGTGGATTCCTCCTTTCACCACGCCATCTTCTAACCCTGGCACGACCATCGTGCGTGCCTAAACAAAATCGAGACTCGTCACTAAAGACAATACTGTTCCATTCCTGATCCCAGAGTGACCGTTGTCTCCACCACTCAAGGCGATTACGTCGGTGTTCTCGAGTTAAAGGGAGGACCCAGTGTGGCCGGTATGAAAACAATCCAAAACTTCTCATTCGTCGGTAAACACTTCGCATGCCAATAGGTTTCCGTGTTCTGCAAACCATTCATTTGCAATGGACCTGGTAGCGGAGAAACGGTCCCTTAAGGCCAATAATCTTAGGCGGCGATCTTCACGGTCTGTTGTTCTACGGCGGCGTCCAGTGCCCCTTGCTCTTTGCGTACGGCCTTCTCGAAGTCATGCCTGACAACACCTAACCACAGTGTCTACACTTCTTTGTACTCTAACTGCAATTGCCCGAAAAGAAGGTCCAGCTTCCCGAAGTCCCACTATACGGCCCCTATCAAACTCACTAAGTTGACGAAATCGTACAGGTCTCCGTACTCTAGGCATCGTAACCGATCGTAAAGGATGTCAAGAACCAAAATCCGCCAACGTTGATTCTTTACTGCGGCTGAAATATTCATTTTTAGAGCGTTAGTGAATTAAAAAAAAAAAGCAGTATAAAAACCGGAATGTCCAACTGATAAGGCTGAACATTCTTTCACTTGTTATTTACAGTAAGATAAATACATTTACCAACTTTTATTAAAATAAAACCATTTAAACTGGGTGTTCCGATTTATATGTCACTTAGTATAACAGATGGGACATCAAGCAGCTTGAAGGTGCAATGGATCAGTTGTGTGGGTAGGATTGAATTTGCTGGCCCTGAAAATTGGTTGGTAGCTGGTGCTTTAGACTAATTGGTTATGACCCCTCCACGGAATGGAGGAGATGCGGGTTCGAATCTTCCCGGCGCCCATGTTTCCTTTCTCAAAATCTGTTGTTTGATAAACGTGCACCACGTTTTTACATGCCCATGCTGTGATAACTCCCAGCTGCTTCCGCTATAAATCATTTTCTCTCCAGGGCCCCTATTCTTGACTTTAATAGAAAATGACACTGCCTTTTTTTTGTACTCCTCCGGTTTTCTATCGGTTCGAAAATACTGCATTCTTGAAAGGACTCGATAGAAGGAGAAAGGAAATCAAGACACAGGGTTACCAGGATTCACAAAACGTGTTGAACTAATCAAAATGAAAATAATATTGACAGTCAAAAGATTTTGGTCAAGATTTTCTCCTGATAGTTTCATCTATGGAGCCGAAAACCTTAAAAAAGCACATTACAAATGAACAAAAGGACAAAATGATTGAACTTATCCGAGAGCACCCCCAAATGTACCAGGGAAAATTCAATCATAGAGTAAAGGATACTGCTTTAGAATGACGAAAACTTACTATACTAAGTGACATATAAATCCGAACACCCAGTTTAAATGGTTTTATTTTAATAAAATTTTGTATAAGTACTTAATGAAGTATAGTAAGTAAATGATAAAAATTTCAAAATGATTGCACTGCTTTAAAGCCCTTTGACCTTTAATAATGTGTGGATGCACCCTGATGTGCTACGCATTCTCCAACGCGCCTAGGCATGCTTCTGATCAGGTGGTCAATGTCCTCCTGTGGTATCTCATTCCATGCAACCACCAACTCCTCTCGAAGTGCTTCTAGAGTCTGAGGAGGACGTTGCAAATTGAGCAATCTCCTACCCATCATATCCCACACGTGCTCAATTGGGGATAAGTCGGGAGATCTTGGTGGCCATGGTAACAATGTGACATCATTATGTTGAAAGAAGTCTATTGTGACTCTTGCAACATGTGGTCGGGCATTATCTTGTTGGAAAGTTGGATCTGCCAGGGTGTCAAGATAGGGTAAGAGATGGGGTTCTAGGACTTCGTGGATATAACGCTGCGCGTTCATGTTACCTCTCATGAAGATTAAAGGTGACCTGGAACCATAAGCTATAGCACCCCAAACCATAACTCCAACAGTGTGATGAACATGTCTTTCAACAAAAAACTGTGGATTCCTCCTTTCACCACGTCGCCTTCTAACCCTGGCACAACCATCGTGCATGCCTAAACAAAATCGAGACTCGTCACTAAAGACAATACTGTTCCATTCCTGATCCCAGAGTGACCGTTGTCTGCACCACTCAAGGCGATTACGTCGGGGTTCTCGAGTTAAAGGGAGGACCCAGTGTGGCCGGTATGAAAACAAGCCAAAACTTCTCATTCGTCGGTAAACACTTCGCATGCCAATAGGTCTTCCGTGTTCTGCAAACCATTCATTTGCAATGGACCTGGTAGTGGAGAAACGGTCCCTTAAGGCCAATAATCTTAGGCGGCGATCTTCACGGTCTGTTGTTCTACGGCGGCGTCCAGTGCCCCTTGCTCTTTGCGTACGGCCTTCTCGAAGCCATGCCTGACAACACCTAACCACAGTGTCTACACTTCTTTGCACTCTAACTGCAATTGCCGAAAAGAAAGTCCAGCTTCCCGAAGTGCCACTATACGGCCCCTATCAAACTCACTAAGTTGACGAAATCGTACAGGTCTCCGTACTCTAGGCATCGTAACAGATCGTAAAGGATGTCAAGAACCAAAATCCGTCAACGTTGATTCTTTACTGCGGCTGAAATATGCATTTTTAGAGCGTTAGTGAATTAAAAAAAAGCAGTATAAAAACCGGAATGTCCAACTGATAAGGCTGAAAATTTTTTCACTTGTTATTTACAGTAAGATAAATACATTCACCAACAATTTTTTTTTGTTGGTACCAAGAAAAGACGCGACGTTCTAAAGCGAATTAATTCATTTCTATCACTTTTCGGTAGAATTGACTTCAAGAATACTACACCTTTGCCACTTTCTCTCACAATTTCTACTCCTTCAAACCCAAGAAAAGTGGTCCAGGTCGACTTCATAGTTCGGTTTTAACCCTTGAGTGCAAAGTTCTGCCAACGGCCGACATAATTGCTTTTTTACATCATCAAAACTGAACTGAAACTCTTAATTCACTTCTCTGTTGACATAGCGTTCCTCCTAACTAAATACACCGGAACTATTCACCGGTGGCGGGTCCGTACTGCGCCTCCGACCTACTTCCACCAACTTCCAACTTTGCATTCACGTCGCTAACATCTGCAACTTCCAAGTTCTCCAACCACCTATAAAGAAGTTAAACTCAATTATAGAGAAAACCATATACGCCGACATTTCGTTTATATCTGTATTCCGTTGGAATCCACGCAATAAAGGTGGGTAGGCTTGCGATAACGGGTACCATTCACCCTCGGATCTCCTCATAATAATTCCAAGTTTTCCAGAGAATATTAGATTTCCAGCAGTTTTCTTGCGCTTTTCCGGACCTTGTAAACGATGCACGAAATATCGTTCTCACGACCCGAATTCTAGCTGATGAAGATACTAGAAATGTGTAACACGCCTTGAAGGAAATTCATTGAGGTTGAACAAGACAGACTGACTAACCTTTACTCTACCCATTTTGATAACCTGAACTACCCAAAACTATTTTAAACGTATTCTGGTAGCTGTGATTAATAAAAACAATTGTCATGGCTTTTATTTTTCATAGCCACCTATGCGTTATGGACTTATTTTCCATTGAAATGAAAATAGGTTGATATGCTGTAATTGCAATATGTGTTATCTTTATGCTGCAAATTTGATTAGGAGTGATTAAGTTGGGGTTTTTTACTATATATTATCAAAATATTCATTGTTGATATTTTAAACCTACAACACCCTGCTATATTTTTATTATTTGTGTTAGATAAGAAAAAAATTAAGATTTCAATAGTTGGGCCAACTGAAGTGGGAACGGGCTCATATATAAGCTAATAGCTGCTTTTGGTACCAACCAGGGCTACATAAGATTAGCAAACATAAAACAAACATATGCGGATGATCTTAAAATTTATACTCTGGTTAGCAACAGCACCGATTGCGAACGTCTCCAAGATAATCTCAACCGGATAATAATTTGGTGCGATAATAATAACCTATCCATGAATGCATACAAGTGAACCAGCATGACACTTTCTAGAAAACAACGCTGAATAAAATATCATTATGAGGTTAATCATACAACACGGCCGAATCTAAGAGGATTCAAAGGTCTTGGAGTAATCTTTGACACAACCTTCAATATCAATCCACATATAAATTATCTTTTAAATTCTGTAAATAAATGTCTGGGTTTTGTGTTGCACAACTCTCATAATTTTGACAACGTAAATGCCCCACTCATGTTATATAATGCATTTGTAGTGTCAAAACTGGAATACGCTAGAATTATTATTTGGAATTCCTGCAATGTGGCGACTTGTGAAACTACGAGGGGTCTTTTAATTTTTGCATATGGAAATAAAACACGGTAGGTAGTTTTAAATGACTTTGTTGTTTTTCGAAGTATTCTCCACGAAGACTAATACACATCTGCATGCGCTCGAACCAATTTTCGAAGCATTTATTCCACTCGTTTGCTGGCAGATCCACAACGGCATTTTTGAATGCGTCAACTGCTTCTTCTGGTGACTGGAACCTTTGACCACGCAGCCTGGTTTTGATTTTCGGGAAAGTAAAGAAATCGTTAGGACTTAGATTGAGACTATATGGAGGATGGCCCAATAATTCCACGTTTTCTTCCGTTAAATACTGCCGAAATAAACAGACACTATTCACACGCGTTACCGAATGACACTGACTGTATGTATAACTGAACTGAATAAAATAATTGTAAAAACATCGTTCCAAATTCTTTCGCTTTTTTGTTTCCGATGCGATGAACCGATAAGGCGGATTATATCAGTTGTTGCCAAACACGACCACATGATATTATTATTGAGACAGGGCGGTACTCAAACTTTCAAAGGGCTATAACTTTGTTACTTTAATTTTACCAGAAAAATGGTAAAGGAAAAAAACATTTCTTTTGATCAGATCTACTCACTGTTAAAATAAATGACTCAACTTCGAAGTCACCCTATATAATTGTGTAGGTTCGTGAATGTTATATTTCTCCATGTTTGTACTGTGTAAACTTCTGTTTACCCCACCAATAGTTGGTTGATCTGTAAATAAAATAAATAAATAAATTAGGAGGTCTAAGCTGTATGTTGAACACTGTAGCTGGAAAGAAACGGCAGTGCATAGGTGCATGGTTAGAATATGTGTGCTAATATTCTGTGTTGATGATAATTCAGTTGGTTCCTTGTCTCAAATACATTTACTTGATATGTATGCAAAGCTAAAAGATAGTTGCACATACGATTTTTCAACCTGGAAGGCAAATTTGCTGAATTCCAGAAAGCCATAAGGAAAGAAAATCCCTGGTTGGTGAGGTATATTAAACCAGCAATACAGGAATATTTATATAACGTGAAACAGTTATTTCGTTCCACATTCATTTCTATTTTCAGTCAGGGTGAAAGTGTTTTGTATGTGAAGCGTCATTCCTATTTTTTTCTGCGATGTGGACTAACTACACACAACGCGACTCAACAGACTTTTCCGGCATTCTGCAAACCAACAAAGCATGGCTTTGAGCGTGTTTTGTCGTCCGTAGATTGACGCTTGCAGCGCTCATAGCGAGCAAGTGTGGAATGTACTATTTGCCCACTAGGAACTGCCTAGGCAGCAAGTTTACATTTTGTCATTTTTCTTTTCGACGATTTTTAGGTTCTCTGCATGACTGATCAAGATAGCAAGGTCTGTGGGGTAATAAAATTGATGCGCAGATTTCATATTTTAGCGCAAAAATTGGCAATTGAGGACTTCATCAAAGTAGCTGTGGGCGATTTTGGTACATTTCTACTTCCTACTCCAATTGGCATACCATTACTTAGAGAAGTATGTGAAAGCGTTAATATATGTTCAGTTTCTTTGCAAA